CGGGTATAACAACCATATAAAGCTTTTTGTCCATCTTACTCTATATTAAATACAACTAAAATAAATTATATTATGAATATTTTGGCAAGCCAGAACAAATTAAAACGTGAAATTCTTTCAATAGTCTATTTAAATTTTAATGACAACCAACTAAATCAAATGAAAGACACAGGCAACGAAAGAGAAATGAAAAATATTCTGAGAATAATAAAAGCATATATGTATACTGCATTTTAAAATGCCACCGGGAACATGGGAAAAGCGAAAAGGGAAAGTGATGGAGAACAACATTTCGTGCGAATTTATTTGTTTACTTCAAAATTGCTCATCCCGTTCCAATATATCACTCACGTCACATCCCCCGATGCTTCTATACTTGCAGATATTCCGCAGATCGGACGTAAATGAACGATCCCGGCGATATACCACTGACACACACGAGCACTCCGGACAGCAGGCCGCCCTGCAGCATCATCTCCATCATACCCACCATAGGGATGTCCTCATGTCGCGGAAGAGCCGAGGCATTCGCGCGGAGTCTGTCCTCCAAGCTGCGCACCTTGGGATCACAGGTGAATATACATATACAATACTAGGGAGGAATAAAGCGTGAATGACATTACTACATTTATTACATTCTTTAAATTCAAAACTAACGAGTGTTTCACTCCGTAGACAACCGAGGAGGGCGAGGGCAACGCGGAGGACGAGCCAATCATAAATGGATCCAGCACGAACACGTGGGTCAACTCCCACGACTCGGAGCAGACGGTGACGGACCTGCAGCCACTGCGCCATGAATCCGACTCCTTCTTCGACTTCGACTGCGAGCTGGAGTCGCCGGGGAGTCCTGTGGACGAGTGCGAGTACCTGCGCCTGATCGAAACTGCCTCGAATACGCCGCACAACTCTACGGCGGAGTCGGGCTATGCCTGCGCTTCAATGGCCAGCAGCCACAGTAGCAGCAATGATGGTCCGTACTTCGACGCATCCGCATCCGCTTCCGCTTCCACATCCACAGCCGCAGCTGCCCAGGATCAGACGCTGCCAGCCTCGGAACCCAAGGAGCATGTGAGCACCCTGCAACTGAACGGAAGGCATGGACTAACCAATGGAGTGCAGGAAGAGCAGCCAGCAGGCCAGGATGCGGTGCAGGACGACGAGGCCTTCTTGCAGGCCCAGATCATCAGTGAGCTCCAGAAGCACAGCTTCAGCTTAAGGGAAGTGGAACAGACAAAGACCGAGGAGGGTAAGCTCAGCAATGGGCATCTCGAGGAGGTGGAGGAGCTGCAACTGCAGGACGTCCTGGAAGTAGCTGGTACTACAAACAGAGCTCCACAGGCGATCGCCGCTCCGAAAGAAGAGGAAATCTCCCCTGACAGAACCCACGAGGAATCACCTAGTGAAAGAGTGCAAAAAGAAAGCTCCCAGGAAAGGGTTCTAGAAGAAACCCCATTCGAAGGAGTTCAAGAGGAATCCCCAAATGACAGAGTCCAAGAGGACGCGTCCGGTGAAAGGGTTCCAGAGGAAACGTCCAACGATACAGTTCAAGAGAAATCCTCCCACAAAACAGCCACAGAATTAATCCCCGCCGAGGAAACCTTCCCGGTCAGATCCCCCGAGGAAATCAGGAATGATGAACTCTCGCCAGACAGTGGTGTGGATGAAACAGACAAATCGGCCAGTAATCTCACCGTAAATGTGGACCTGGCCCAAATTGAACAGGCCAAACAGGATGCCACCGAGGCTGTGGAAAAAAGTGGCGCCCCCAGTCGGGGCACCACAGTCGATACCACGGATGATGAAGACGATTGCAGACCCCAGCGCATCAGGCGCTGTTCCTCCCTGAAAACGGGAAAGACTCCACCCGGAACTCCGGGTCGCAAGAAGATTGTGAGGTTTGCCGATGTCCTGGGCTTGGATCTGGCCGATGTGAAGACCTTCCTGGACGAGATACCCACCATACCGAAGTCCGCGTTTGAGGACCTGGAGATCCTGGAGTCGGAGCCGCCCCTTCAGCTCGGCCCCAAGTCCGACAAGCTACTGATGCCTCTGTTCCAGCAGCCAGGAGGCCTGCCCAAGTTCCTCGATGCGGTCCGGGAGAAGCAGGTGTCCCTGGAGAACGCTGCCGTGACGGACATCATCAACCAGACGATATCCGGATCGGTGCGCGTGCGCAATCTGGACTTTCATAAGTCGGTGCACATACGGTACTCGCTGGACGGATGGAGGAGCTACGCCGACCTGCAGGCCAACTACGTGGAGAACTCCTGCGATGGCTTCTCCGACATCTTCACCTTCGTGCTGTTCGGGAACTCGCTGCACGTGGGCCAGAGGCTGGAGTTCGCCGTAAGGTTCCAGTGCAAGGGCCAACAGTTCTGGGACAACAACTACGGGGCCAACTACTGCTTCCAGTGTTTGCCCAGCTCGACACATACCGCCGGCGGCTCCACGGCATCGCCTCCGTCTGTGGCGACTGGCGCCGTATCCAGCGGCCATGGTGCCAGTCTGGTCGGAATGCTAAGCCCCACGGCGGGCGATGCCTGGTGCAGCTCCTTCTACTAACCGGTGGCGATGGGCCCGCACTTAAGGCACTGGCATCCCGTCTAGAATCCAAAACCCCTCCATGCCCCATCCAACGACACGACACCAAGATCTGGGAAAGTTTCCGGGCCTTGACGTGGTGTCTACGTCCCAGTACGAAATCAAGTCCAAGCAGTCCCAAATGGCCGCCCAGTCAGAGATCACAGATCAGAATACCAACCCTCAGGGGGCTAGCTCTTCATTAGGGTGATTGGATTTTTCGCTTTAAAATCCATATGGAACTAAGTATTTTTTTGGCAATTCTTTGCGTTACGTATCGCGATCTGAAACTAATTTGGAATAACATTTTCAGTCAAAGGCAGATTAAGTTTTGATGTTGTGCAACTTAAGAGCTGTTGTAAGCAAGAACTATCGTACGAAATGTCAAGAAATTACGTTACTCCCACAAGAATATTTCAGTCCCTGCACATCGAAAGATCGAACCACCCTACCCTTCCCAGGAAGGCAAACATTGTTTATATTTTTATAGAATGGAAAAGATTGAAGGGTTAGTGGAAGGGAAGGGGAGCTGAAAGAGCGCCACAAAATCTAAAGAATCAAACCAGAGTAGTGCGAACAAGAACAAAAGCCAGCAAGGTTCGAATGAATCCCAAAGATAGTTGTTAGTCGTATGTTATAAGAAGAGCAAGTGATAACCAACTAAAACTCAGATCAGTTTCTTCAATGTCTTCTTCTGTTTTTAGTTTCTTTCCCAACTTTTATTTGGTTTGTTCCTAGGTTTGTTTGTTATGCGAAGGCGATTGCCAGTTGGATCGGGTTATTAAGATTGTGTTTCTGCCAGATAATGTACTTTAAAAGAATCAGTTTTGTGAAAGGATTAATTGCCATTAATCTTAGTTCAGCAGCAGTTCTGCGAAGTATCACTGTGGACGGCAGTCCGCGTAGTGACGAATATGAGCTTTGCACCATTTTCTTAGGTTTTGTTCTGTAAAAGCAGTTCACCTTTAGCCTTGCTTACAGATCCGTTCGAGCATAGAGACCATGTCAAAAGTTAACTACAACTAACCAACATCCAATATCTAGTCAACTCGAGTTTACTTTTGCTACCTTTTGACTACTCACAGTCCAAAGGAAATACTCCAATCCCATGATATTTGTAGCCCGATCGGGAAAACCCTTTAAACCATCAGACACAACAGACAAACCTTAACTTTTGTTTCTCTTAAATGTTGATATTCTTCTAATGTTTGATTTTTTATATGCTTTAATTTTAGTTTAAACGATTTAAATATTTTCTATGTATATGTTGATGCGTAATACATCTATCGTAATATTATATAAATATATATACAAAATAAAATAAATATAAACTTTAGTTATTCCTTTTCCGTTCATTCTTTCCATTATCTATGTATTTTCTGAATAATAAATACAACTTGAGCTCTTCTTATCCACAACAGAACCTTAAATAGCCTATATCAGGGATAAACAAACGAATACCTACTTATAACAATTAATTGCAAACGCAGCTACCTCAAAGTTTTCCGACCGAAAACACGAAAAAGAGAGAGTAATAGTTAAACAAAGTATATGATTAAATAAAGCAAATATTAAATATGTTTATTGCATAGCAAACATGTGTAAAACAGAAGCAAAAAAACAAATAAAACGAACTTTAAAAGTTACAACTATTTATATATGTTAACAGAAACTTTAAAAAACACTACTAAAGTCCCCCAATCCAAATGACTTAGACTGAAGCGTGAGTATTTCGCGAGATACGCGAGAAGTGTTATGAGATCTGCCCAAAACCTGTTGACTTGTTGCGGTTTGTGTGGGCGGAGCTTTTGTCAGATATGAGTTCCACTTCACACTAACAAAAGAATAATAAAGAACCCACAATAAACTTAAATTGCGAACAGACATTTTTAGCATGTCTCGAAATTGTTTTCTTTTGTGCTTCAAATGGACTGACAGGGGGAAGAAAACTGCATATTAGTTACTCAAAATGGTTAACATTTCGTATTAACTTACAGTTTGAATGCTTAAATCATCTCTAGGTCAGCAGACATTGCTCTGGTTCCATTTAAAGTTTATGTTTGTATGTATTTCAGAAATGAGATACATACCCACTTATTAAGCTATCCAAGAATTCACTTTTCATCGCTCAATTACAAAGTCGGACACCCATTTAGTGTGAAAGTTCTTTCAGCTGCCTAAGAACTCAGCTCATTCATTGAATACTATGCAAATGAGATACTTTATAAATAAATGGCTTGGTTTATTAAACAAGAGAAATTAGCATACGATACAAATATAATACGCTCGTAAGACAAGACATATAAATCTCAAATGAGCTGTCTTAACGGGAGTTTGACTGATTCTTCTCTATTGCCATTTTTCAGAGGCTTGTCTCCACATAAAAGAAGTGACTTCGATCTGATTTTCTTTAGTTTACAGCATGCCGTCGAATCCGAAAGTTCGCTTTGGGAACTGGATTATTCTGCTGGCGGCACTCCTGTGTGTTCCTGGGCTAGTCTATGCCAAGGATGATGCCTCTGTGCCCCGTCTTATCACCCTTCAAGCTGGTAGTCCCGCTCCAGCGCCGCCACAAGAAGTGATCATAGAGGAGGATCACGATCATCATCATCCGCAACACTATCAGCCGAGCTATTCGTATCCGTATCCCCAGCCGCAGCCCTGTCGTTGTCCGCCCGGTCCTCCGGGTCCTCCTGGTCCACCTGGACACCCTGGACAGAAGGGCTATCCCGGGCCCAAAGGATCCAAGGGTGATCCTGGTGAGAAGGGGTCGAAAGGAGAAAGGGGCCACCCAGGTATGCCTGGAATGCCTGGCCAACCTGGTCCTCAGGGTCCTCCTGGATATCCCGGAGGTTCATATCCACCGTATCCCTATCCTCCTCCTCCTCCTCCTCTTCCACCACATGGACATGGAGGCCCAAAAGGACACCATAGGCACTACGATCGCTACTATGATGAGGAGGACTATGACTACGCAAATGAGCGTTCGTTTGGTCTAATAAAAGCCGAAGAATTCGACGACCAGCCCTTCATTTTAGCCTTCAGTGAACGCAGAAATCCGTTTAGACCAAAAATCAATAAAAGGCGAAATTGAAAGAAAGTTTTTCGACTATTATACCCATTACTTTGAAGGAACTGTCAAAATTCAGCTGAATTGAATGGGCATGTCATCTGAATAGCTATTTAGGTCTTAAGTTTTTCCCAAAGAGAACATTTTGATTGAACACGCGAAATCAAAGCAAATACTTTTTTCAAGGACTACCAATAACAGTATAGCATTCACTCACCGATTAAGTCGAAACCTCTTTACAAACTGTATATTATTAGACACCTGTTAAGTCGTTTAAAATCTCACATTACATTAGGCAGTAAAGCTGGCTTAAACTATTAGCAAACATCATCATCTATGGCGGGCTGGTCGTCGCCCTCCTCCTCCGCTTCGTCCTCCAAGGCCGCTTGCGATGCACTAACCTCCGCGAAATCATCCTCCATGGTATCCACAAAGCTCGAGACCCTATCATCGCAAAACAAACAGACTTTAGAAACAAACAACAAAGACATTCGTTGGCAGGCATCACTTTTCAAAGTCACACTGCGGCAGGAGGCCCTCCTCCTTCGAGGGGCTGAATCTGAGCAGCGTGCAAAGTCTGAGGAGCCCGAGGAGTATCAGGAACATCCCGGCCACATAACTCAGCCACAGATTGTGGGGATATAGTATCAGGCAGATGCCGATGGCCGCATAAACTGGAGTGGGTCGCCAGCCGCCACAAATCGCTGAAAGTCGCCAGCAGGACGAGCAGCTGCAGGACCTCCGCTGGTAATTATCCCTGAAACAAATTGAATCCACAAATATGAGAACGGGGAAAATGTCCAAGCATTATTGTAAGGTCCTATTCTTATTTTTTTCTGCTTCTATATACAAATATGTCGTAAGTCGAAATGAAAGTATATCGGACAGTCCGCAAATTACTGTTATACTGCTGCAAAATTTGGTATCTGGAATATCCATCTTTTATGAATAAAAAAGAAAAATAATAAAATAATATATACATAAAATATATTATTTGGGAAACTTGAATTGTTTTCTTACTCTGCGCACTGGAGTTGCAGAAAGATAGTCACGAGCCACTTGATCTCAATCAGCATTACCAGCACGGCTGAAAAACTAACCACAAATTAGTATATTTTTCGGGGATGTCGATATGGATCCGTGACTTACACTATATAAAGACCGGCCTGATAGCCATGCATGTAGACATCAACGCCAACGCCGCAGATAACTGAAATGAAAAATGGCTTAAGAAAGTAATGGGGCGGGCGTTTTTGGCGGGTTGAAAGGAGGAGTGTTATCCTTGAATGAGCCTATAAAGTAATGTGAGTTTGTCTAGGCAAATATATTTATAAGCATATTTATTGAGCTGGGGCTTTTTTGTTTACCACGCTCCGGCCATAAAATGTAACACAAAACCAATGGAAGGAAACGAGGTGAACTCAAGAAGTTTATCACTATACTAAATATGACATATATTGAAAAAGTATTTTACAAAAGCAGTGGCCAACAATTTACAAGACAACCTTTTAGAAATAATAAAAAATAATAACTAATAAATAGATTATGATAAATCAGATTGTGATATGAACCTTGAGGAAATTTACATATTCACAACGAATTTAAATTGTATAACTAAAAACTTTATTTATCCCAATTTCACGTATCTCAATTTGCGTCAAACAGCCCTCCCCAGCATTCATATTCTAACCACATTATGGTTCCGATTCACATTTTGTCTTACCCAAATCCACTTTGAACGTATAAGATATGGTTGGCCATGGTTATGGAGCCCCCACGCCCAGCAGCCCATAAAAATATAATCTAATTAAGTTGTTTTTATTATGCGGAGTCGCGAAAAACCAATCCGATTAGCCTGTTAGATATATGTATGCCCCATATTTAAGCACAACTGAAGAACCGAAACCAAACCAATTACATTAAATGCTGTCAACGGAGATAAAAATTGAAAAAGCGGAAATCGAAAAAACATGCAAAAATTATCTGGATAATTGAAAGCGACGGGGGGAAAATAGATACCGGGAAAGCGGAAAACTTGGCGAATGGCTGGCGCCAAAAGGCTAACAACACAGCTCATTGTCGACCGTATGGAAAAGTTGCTGATAAGGGGAAAATCGGGCTGGGAGAACTCTGCTCTTGGCACAGGATGCCAGTCGTGAGCTGCAAGCTGCATAGAGGCCAATGCCTTGTTAATGGCTCTGCCAGGGAGTTTCCTTGGGAAACCCATCCCTGTTCGGAGATCCCCATAATGCGGGGCTTATGAACTGCAGAGATTTTATACTTTGTTTTTCTGCGTGCCACTGCATCCATGATAGACCCCAAAACAATTTGAAAAGAAATTAGTTTGAACTTGACCCGCAGTTTTTGTTGGGCTGCAGCTGGGCGATTTATCAAATTCTGTAAAAAAAATGGACGGTGCACTATCTTAAGCGCATTAGGAAAATGTCAGATGGTGGCGGAAAATCGTTATGATTGGCCATGATAAGCGTTTAAGCCAACTTTGATAACTCCACCAGATGGCCGAGAAATTGGGATGAAAAAATGTGATTGGATTTTCGCAGATTAGAATGCAGATAAGTGATGAAAAAATGATGTTGTGCAAAAAATGCAACCGTTATAGATTGATTACAGGAAGATAATAATATTTATTACATTTTTACTTCATTTTACCATGCCTGGCTAATAAATTAAATTTTGCCTTCGTGAATTGACAAGCAAAATGCCATTTAATTTTAAGCTGTAAAGATACAATTATTGCATCAATTTAAGCGGAAAAAATGTAACACAAAGATAGGTATAAAAAAGGTTGGATTGTAATTAAATGAAGGAAAAAGGGAAATTAATATTTTACCAATTTAAACTCAATACTCAATTTTTAAACTCAACTTGAATTTAAATTGTGTTAGGTATAGATTATTTACATAGGCTTGAATATCGAGTTCGTTGAAGCACATTTGTAGCTGCTATGTGCGCTAGGAGAATATGAAAAGGGATGTCCCTTATTACATTTACATTTATTTTCCTAGTCTACTCAAGCACATACAGATCCTTTGTGTACAATAAAAATATTGCTCAAAGAGTAATACTATATGAATTGAAATGCACAATAAAAGCAGCCAAAAAGAGAATATCCCCATTCAGCATCTCAGCCTGCAACTCCCATTCTTGCCAAGAAATATAATAAGCCACAGCACTCAACATATCCCGAGGCAATGGTCCCTATGCACAAGCATTTCCTACGATTTGTCAAGGGTAAACATTCCAAACAAGGGCCAGAAAAGCAATGCACACTCATACTTAGATGCAACATGCATCGTGATTGGCATTATCTCGAGCCGGGGTCACCTGGGCACCGACAAGTCCTATTCCCCTGGCTCGGATTTCCGCACACTTGAGCTTACCGAATGAAGTCAGCAGACCAAAAACCCTTATCACAGGACGTAAGCACTCGCACGGTTCTGCGGACTGATGGCGGCGATGATGACGAGCGCGGCGAACGCGCTGCGACTGCAGTTGCATCTGGCTCATGGCTGGCTGGCTATATATATATTTATTTTATGAATTGCCAAAGGTGCAGTTTGGTATTGCAGTTAATATCTTATTTATTGGCGTTGAAGTTTTCCCTCTCCTTCCGTACGTAGCACTGGTGACTGAAGTCGGAGCTGTGGCTTTCAAAATTTGGATTGAAGTGTAAGCTTCATATCTTCACTTCCAATTTATTCAATAGATTGAATTCACTTCAAAAGAACTTTGGTTTTTAAGTTTAATACAGCATAACTTTAAATATTCTCAGCCAAAACTGCCGTTTCAGTTGCTGTCCAAGCGAATCGCTAATAAAACAATCAAAGAGCCGTATCCACATCACAAAAATTCACTACGTGCTCGGCATACTAAGTGGCCAAATAACTTTACGACAAACATTTTCAATTCCAGCCAGAACAGCTTTTAAATTTCACCATTTAACTCGGGCACACGCTGCGTATTCGTAATGTGACATTTCGCACCTCTCCTTCCATGGCCTTTAATCACCGCACCGTTTGTGTGTGTGCGTGTGCGTGTGTGTGTGACAACTAATGTCTGCAAATTACCGTTACCATTTGCACTTTGCCCCCGCACGTTGTTGGCCTTTATTATTTTTTTATTAAATATTTCTCTTATTTCTTTGAGTTTTTGTAACTTTTTTGTGAAGCGCCACTTTGCCACTCGACTTTATGGCCGCGCTCTAAACAACGAACGTCCGCACGCTTCCAGCGGCGCCAACTGAATGAAACTGAATGAAAGGACCAGCAAGGATTCGTTTCTATTTTCGGAGTCAGGATCCAGAGTCGCCGCTCAGGCTGCTTTTCCCACAGCTTTTCCTACTGCCACTGACTTTGTAGCCAAGTACCAGCCAATGGGGCGGCGCTGCATTCGAAACTGCTAAGTTGATTTGTTACGAGGGCGCACGAGTAGTGTTTATTTCTTTTTAAATGCGTTTTTGCGATTTAATGCTGAGATTTATGAAGACCGCAAATACAACCATGTTGTTACAAAAATCCTTTTAATTGGTTAGCTGTTTTTGACATTGACTAGCGTTTGTATCTGAAAACTTATTTGAAGTTGGCCGTATGACAATTCTTTAAAACTATACTCCTTTAAATACTCCTGTCTAATTTCTTTAAAAAGTTTTTGATTTTGGTTATTCATTAGTAATACAAGATCCGTAATCCAATTGCTTAGGAACTTAATTCAAAAATTCATTGTTATTTTTCTTCACTATTTTAATTTGAACAGTTTCGATGTTTTATCTAAATCATTTATTTAAAGTGTTTTGTTTTCGCGTTTTATTGCGGGCGTAGCGCATTGGAGCAGTCTTAATAGTCCTGCGGTTTTTTACAAGAACGCACAATGGGCAATAACGTCAGTGTTCTGTGTTAATTCTTTTAATCCTTTTATAGTTTAAATTGTTCTTGTACTTTCCATTCTTCTAAAAATCAATAAAGTGGGAAGTGTGAAATGTTGAAAGGATTTTATATTTAGATATTTTACAAATATCTACCGATATTGTTTAGTGCTGATTCGAGTATAAACCTTATAAATATTATAGTATAAAAATGTTACTTACATTTTGTAATAATTTCAGTTGTATGTCAAAAACTGGATGATTGGCCCACTGCTCAAAGCCAGCTTGATTTTATTTGTCACGTTGTCCTGTGTGTGAAGCCACTGCCTCATGTTGTTGCTACTGCTGACGCGGCTCTCTGTGTGAGCGTGCCCTCGTCCTGCAGGTCCTGTGGAACCCGCACCCGTCTCTGGCCACGTTTCAGTAATTTTCATAACTGGCTGAATGGGGATCGGAGTGGTGAGAGGCGGGAGGCGGAAAGAAGCTCAAAAGACAACCAGGAGCAAAGCTGAGCAATTGCCAAGAGGCGGGCGAGTACGCAGAGTGTGGACAAAAACATTTTGGGCTGCTACAGAGCCCTCAACCTCATACATTAAATGGGGCCAAATTCAGGGGGAGCACGAGTAAATATTTTTTTAGCTCCTCCGCTTATTGTCCTGTGCATTTGCCGAGGTGTCTGTCGTCAGGCTTGTTTGCATTATGCGGCGTTAATGACATCCAAAGTGGCAGCCGTCCCCCAAGGAAACTCTCCACTGTCGCCGCCATCTACGACATAATTCACAGCTGCCTCACACTCGGAAAAGTTAATTTCCTAAAGGAACAGTTCGAGGATTCCAGCGAAACACTTGTGAAGCTCGTCCTTGATATCGCCTTCTGCAGCTAGGCTACCTTTGTCCATGCCTCAGGATGCCGTGTTCTATGCTTGCACTGGATGTTTTATGTATTTTACACAATTGAAAAATGTTTACAGGTAAAAACAAAACGTAGCATTTTCTGGAAGTCATTTATACGAGTGCTTGTTTGCCATCTAATAGCTTTTGAGTTTTAATGTAATCTACTAAGCATAGAGACAAAACTAAGATATTTACTCAATGTCTGAAAATATTTTTAGACGATACAAGTCTGTTAATTTGACGTGGAACCATTTAACAACTGTTCCATTATATTCATACAGTTTTGTTCACTATATTCTTTTGAGTGCACACCATCTTAATGACCTTGCCCGCGGCACTCACTTGGGAAACTCCTTGCGCCGCTTCATTATCTTGGTAATCCCGGCCACCATGGCCACCTCGGGCAGCGACAGCTTGGCATCCTCTTGGAAATCGCAGCGTCTGGTTAAATGCAGCCAGGTCCGTTCCGGATTCAAGGACAGCGGCATCTGCAACCAGCTGACGTAGTCGATTTTCAGAGAGCCCGTGAGCAGCTGGTCGAAGGGGGTGTTCCCAATGAAGAACATGGACCGCAGCACCGAAGTCTTGGCCTCCTTGATATTCTGACCCTGGATGCCTTGGAAAGGACTCGGCTCATTGTCACCCGTTCCCAGCTGCTCGAGCAGCCAGTCCTTGTTGAACTTCAAATAGTTGTACACCACTTTCAGGGCCTGCTTTCCAATATTGGTGGTCAGAACATCGCTGACCAGGACTTCGGCTATGTAATCTGCGATTCCCACATCCAGTTCCATGGCATAGTTATTGGGAGGACTGTGGCTCAGGCGATCGGACTCCGCATTTGTCAAGGCCAGGTCATCCATTTTGATGGTGCTCACAGCACTCATTCCTCCAGCCCCTCGGGTATTGCTCCCTGCAGTTCCACCGAAATCCGTGTCCAAGTTAATACTCTCCTTGGCCTGTTTGAGGAACAGCTCGATCTGATCTGTGTGCTTGTCATCCTCGTCAATGGAGCAAATGGCCTCCGATATGGAGTAACATATGGCAGCCTTGTCCAGGTCCTTGGCTGATCAGAATCGAATGTAAATAAATAACCAAAAATATTTAAGGAAATCAGGTCAACCGTACTATTTACTCACCCTGCTCATACACCTCTGCTGTTTTGATCAGTTCTGTATAGAGTGCCGCAAAAACCACCTGCAATAGCACTGAATCTCCCAGTGGCCGTGTCGAAACTGGAATGATATCTTGAAGCAAGGAGGCGATTTTGTACAGCCCCTCGGGAAGGCAGTCCCAGATCTCAGAGACACACGTTAGGGCCAAGGACATGGCCTGGTACATACTGGCTCCATTCTCCACGGCATTCACCAACATATTCACCACACAATCGAGCACAGGGTACACGAAATGCATGATGGCTTCTAGCCAGGGTGTTCGCTTCTGGTTCCACACCTGCCGTTTGTCCAGGCAATCACTCCATCCCGCAATCGCGTGTTCCTCCAGTGTCTTGATCAGGCAGGACTTGATGTCTACTGCCTTGCCCACAGCTACCACCAAATAGGTGAGAGATAGGACGATCTGATAATTGGACTGACCTACGGGATCTAAAAAGGGAAGGAAAAGGGTATTATAATTTTAAAATTCTTTTTTTTTAATTCTTTTCATCACCGACCTATTCGATCGCATCTTACCTATATCCCCGGCTATAGAATCTGTGACATTGAAGCACTCTCCACGACACAAAAATGCCTCGCACTTTTGAGGGGCACCTTCAGCGCTGGTAAACGAAATCTTTGCTACGTTTTTGAAGTTTTCCGAGGAGGGTAAGTACTGCATCAGGTGGCGCATTATAATGCCAGTGAGATAGGCGTCCCTCATCAGTAGAATCTTCAACAGATAGGACCAATCTGCCTCGGGAAAAGCGAGTAACACCCTCAAGTCCAACGAAATGGCTGTGTTGGTGGAGAGATCCGAGAATTCGGTGACCCACTGACAGGACTGCTCCTTGGGAAAGTATCTGGGCAGAGCGAAGATGATCCAAGCACTGGGCAATCCGTGACGAGAACTAAACATTTCCATGTTGTCCAATCCCTTACGGAAAACCTGCAAAACAAAATGTACAAGTTTAGTTAGTAACATGGCATTCAGATAAATGTACGTTTGAATTAGTATATGATATCCAATTAATTACTTTAACTATATCTTAGAGATGTACAGATCTTTTTACTTCACACCTTGGAAAGCACTCCCAACGGCGATCCTCTCAGGAGAAGGCAGTAGAAGAGCTCCTTGCACTTGGCGTGGATATCCCTGATGATAACGCTCTGGTTACTGAGCTGCAGTCCCACATAGGCCTCGCCACTCTCGCAGATGTGGGGCAACAGTTCGGCGATGCAGAGCAACATGTTGCATATATCCACCAGATGCAGCGTGGATCTTGCCACACTGGTTACTATCTGAGTGTATCGGACCGTGAGCACACTAAGCGTTTCGTTCAGCATTCCGGCGAATATCTTTTGGGCCATTTTCGGTGGCACTGAATTCCAGAGATCGGTTTGGGAACCCCTCATGTAATGCCACCACATCTGGACGGTATAGGAGCCCCTTTCTGACTCGAAAAACGGCTGTGTGTCCTCCCAATGCAGACAGTCGGCATCCTGCATTATATATAGTAAAAGGAGCCGGCAATGGAGGTCCAGAAGTCGTTCGGCCAGAGCCTCTGACATCTGGGAATACTGCTTGAAACTGAGCTTGAGCGCTCCTCCCTTTTCATCGCCCTTGGGTGGACAAATGGTAGTAGTTGCTGCCTGCATATAGACACTCAACGAGTTCTTCACCAGCGATGCAGCTCCAATGGTGGCAGTAAGGACAGACAGGTCGGCGTGATCCAAAGACTCCTGGGAAAGGCGGTGTATGTGCTCCAACAGTAAGTCAGCAGACTTCGTGACCAGCTGCACGAACTTATCCGGATCGGAAGTCTTCACGGTGACACTTGACTGGGGAACACAGCATCTAATTTAAAAATTCGTCGTTTGTTCAACTAAATGAAACTTACAAAATCTCCTTCATTCATTTCCTTTTCTGTGTGCAAAAGTCCAGATGGCTTGCGGTACGAGGCAAAGTACTCATCTTCCCACCTAAGTTAGATTATTTTCTTTAGCAAATCGATAGAAATTGGCATACAAAATATAAACCTAATAAAATGTAAAAAGTATTTAATGTGTGGGCATAACTGTTCTTTTACTAACTCTATTACTAGCTCTTAAGTTTCCGAGATCTCGACGTTCGTACGGACGCACAGACGGAAAACTGGACAAGGAGTTCAAAAGTTCTGTTTGAAATCGCCAACTAAGTCGAGAAAAATTGCTCAAACTCGCGAACTTACATTGAAAGTATATTATAGTATATAGTAATCTATTCTTCCACCATTAATGATGCTATGAACGAACCACACAATACTGATATTACTGATCTGGCCGAACTTTAACACCGGCTTTGCAACCACGTCTAAGAGAAAATAAATAAATACATTTTTGTATTACTAAATATACATATATTAGGAATTAATTCGTAGCGTTTTACGAAAGATGGCGCTAGCCAACTATTCATAGTCACACAGACAAAAGTAAATACTCTCCTGGAAGCTACTGACAGCGCATCTTCACCAGTATATCACATTGCCTTATTGTGTTCATAGCAATTGTTGTGCAGTATCAAACATGTCGAAGTTTGTGCCTGAAAGATCGTTTTTGCGGGGAGTGCCGCGGAAAGTTATCGTATTTTAGTGGAAGTATACGGTGAATATGCTTTCGCTGAGCAAAGATGCAGAAAGTGGTTTGCGCGGCTTAATAGTGGAAATTTTGACTTGGAAGACAAGGATCGTCCTGGACAACCGATAAAGTTCGAAGGTAAAGATTATTTTTGTATTACTAAATAAATATATTAATTGAACCGTGAAAAACAGGATCTACCAGAAATTAAAACGCAAAGTAAATAAAGGACTACGTACCATCTTATTAACTTGATGGCCGCAAAGGAGGCGTATCGCGGAAAATCCAGCTTTCCACCCACAACTCCCGAGCAAATTGGTTCCTGGAGCACCCGCTGATGTGTCTATTATTTGGATATGAGTTACGTAATTGGGGACAAAGGCAAGCTTGTAAAACTCTGGTAAGACCTGGTAAAACTCGAGATCGCGCTGCAGTAAAATCGGCACTCTGTCCATTAAATTTCCCTCTTCAAGCACCTCCATTATGCAGGTCCTGTTTTGAACACTTTAAAATATATACTTTCCAAGCCAAACCAACTGCTGAATATGTGCCAACGAACAAACAGTTCACTTGTTGCCAGGACAACAGAAGATTAAACCAATCGAAAGGGACACGAATAGCGATTATTTATCAGGACATTCGAAAAATGCGCAGCTCAACTGAAATTAGATTTAGATTTAGTAAAAGTATTGCACAGTATAGAGAGATTCCCATTTACTATACTATTTATAAACGACGGAAATTAGGGAAACAAACCAATATTGGATCCCTTCAAAATATTCGTTTATCCATCTAAAAGTATGCTTCTTTTTATGAGCATGCTGCACTCAACCTCTCAATTCGTTCAATTCAATTGATAAGACCCGGGCAGCTCTCCACCCTCCCCTCTCTGCATTTAATTCAGTTTGCGGCTGCGATAAGCTGCCCACAAAAGCCGCTTGTCCCGCTGGTTCAGCATTCAGATTCTGCCCTCAGTTGATAATTGACTTGCGACTCGGCCAGTCGTTCCTTCAATCCGGGCACCCACCAAGTGAGTACCTTCTAAGTGAGATGCTATCAGTGGATCCGCTCTGCTGGGGATCTGAAAAAAACTTTCCAGTCAGCAACCAGAGAACAGAAGGTGCTGTTATCGCTCGATAAGAGTGGTATCAGCTCTTAATCAGTAATCCATAAATCTCCTCCCGTTCTCCTCCGCCACAAAAACAAATTTTCATAGAAATAACCCTGGATCTGAACATGCCCCTTTATAATTAAAAATAAAAACTCCCATGGAGCCTTTAAAAACTCTACGTATTCAACCTAAAAACTAATTTATAAATTTAGATTCGAATGATCTTGGATCACTGATAACCACTGAAAGTTATATAGTGAACTCATATATTTAAAAGTTATTAATAGATGTAAACCTTTTTTACTTTTGCAGCATGTTGGCACACTTGAGGAATATTTCGAAGCTGGCGCTGCCCCGCCGTTTGGTTACCCAATCCGCCAGCTACTCATCGTCCTCATCATTTCTGATCGACCAACCGGAGTACAGTTTCCTGAAAGAATTGGGACTGGAGCGCGACAATCCAGGCGTTTATTCAGGTCAGTGGCAGGGCCGTGGGCCATCCGTTACCAGCTACGATCCCGGAACTGGCCGACCGATTGCCACAGTGCGTCAGGGAAATGTCCAGGAGCTCGAGCAGACTATCGGGCTGGCGGTGGAAGCCTACAAGCAGTGGCGACAGGTTCCAGCTCCCGTTCGCGGTGAAATAGTCCGCCAAATCGGCGATGAGCTGAGGAAGTACAAGGAACCGCTGGGAAAACTTGTCTCGCTGGAGGTGGGCAAAATCTACAGCGAGGGACAGGGAGAGGTTCAGGAGTTCATAGATATCTGCGACTATGCGGTTGGCCTCTCCAGGATTTACTCCGGCCAGCTGATCAACTCGGAGCGTGCGGATCACTCGATCCTGGAGGCCTGGCGTCCGCTGGGAGTGGTGGGCGTTATTTCGGCCTACAATTTCCCCAATGCTGTGTTCGGCTGGAATGCTGCGATTGCCCTGACCACCGGCAACAGTGTGCTGTGGAAGGGAGCTCCCAGCACCCCTTTGGTCTCGGTGGCAACCACAAAAATTGTGGCTGATGTGCTGCGGAGGAACCATCTGCCGCCGGTGGTTACCCTCTGCCAAGGAGGAACTGATGTGGGTCAGACCTTGGTGGCTGATAAGAGAGTTAACCTCGTTTCCTTCACCGGCAGCTGCCAAACTGGTCGGGATGTGGGCGTAGAAGTCCAGCGCAGATTTGGCAAGGTCATCCTCGAATTAGGTGGTAATAATGCCTTGATCATCGATGAATCTGCCAACGTGAAGATGGCCCTGGACGCAGCACTCTTCGGATGCATTGGTACCAGTGGTCAAAGATGCACCACCACCAGGAGGATTATTGTCCACGAAAAACTGCACGATCAGTTCGTAAAGGCGCTGGTTGGTAAATATAAACAGCTAATTCCCAAGATTGGACACCAGCTCGAAGCTCAAACTCTGGTGGGTCCCGTGCACACGCAACAAAACGTGGAGAACTACAAGGCAGCCATCGCGGAAGCGAAATCCTTAGGAGGAGCGGTGGCCTTCGGAGGCAATGTCATCCAGCGGGACGGTTTTTACGTGGAGCCCACTGTGATCACTGGATTGCCCCACGATGCCAGCGTTGTTCATCGTGAAACCTTTGCTCCAATCGTGTACATCCTCAAAGCCAAAAACGTGGACCAAGCCATCGAATGGAACAATGAGGTGGAGCAGGGCTTATCCTCTGCCATTTTCACCGAGAACATCGGGCAGGCCTTCAAGTGGATTGGTGCTAAGGGTTCCGATTGCGGAATCGTTAACATCAACACCACCACCAACGGCGCCGAGATTGGAGGAGCCTTCGGAGGCGAAAAGGCCACTGGAGGAGGTCGCGAGTCTGGATCGGATGCCTGGAAGCAGTATTGCAAGCGGGCCACCATTACAGTCAACCACTCCGGGGAATTGGCCTGCGCCCAGGGCGTTGTGTTCAATGTGGAGTAGAAAACAACTATGATCAATTTTAATGTGCTACAATTTACAATACAAATACATATAATGTCCAAAACTAAATGCAACTGATATAATTCGTCCTATACCTTGCCGATCTCAAAGCGCCAGAAGTCAACCTCGATATCTCTGGACTTCTGCTTGTGGAACTTGTAGCTGGCGTCAATGTTGTAGCGGAGTTCGGCGACCACAGAGCCGCGGGCGCCCCACTCCTGTGCCTTTTTTTGAATGTAGGACCTGGGGACAATGAAAATCAAAAATTAAATTGAAATTGAAATTGAAATGGTTTTGATTTATAACTAAAATTTTGACCAGCGCTAACTATTTTTACAGCTGTTCTGAAAATGAGGATTTTTAACTCTCTATAAGTTATTCGAGTTTATCTACTTTTTTAAACTTAAAATTAAGGACGGAACTATTTTGAAAGACTGAAGCTCGGGTGTTTCTGTGATTTGTTTTAGCTGAGCTCGTTTAAACATTCAGGACAGTGTATGAGAGCACACTGATGTTTATAGACGGCCATCGAATTTGATTATTTAGTTATTCCTAGGTAAAGGAACCAAAAAATTAGATTTTTAAATCGGCGAAACTAGATTTCTCCCCTAACGGAAACCTTACAGAGTTTTTTCTCTTTTTGCAAATATTTATCGTTTTATGGGGTCAAATAACAAGATACCCTTTTATTAAATAACTTACTATTGACATTTCATAGTTAGCTGAAGCTTTTTTTAAATATTCAAAAATGTAAAGCCTAAATATTTGTAAGAATTGGTGGAACGTGCCTCATAGCCAATGGACCTTAGGAGTAAAGCAGCTGCAGGCAGTTGGGACCGCTGCGACAACAACCGCCCCCGCAGACAGGAACCACTGCGTCCCTGGGGATGCGTCGGCAGAAGAGCGGCGGACCGCGGTAGTCTCTTCGGAAGCAGAGTCTCTCGCACACTGACCCGCCAGCCGACACTCGAATGATGGTGAGGCGGCATTGGCCTCGGCCCAGGATCTGTGCTTCAATGGGCAAAGAGGCTAGAAGGGTCAATAGCACTGCAGTGAAGATTAGGCAACGTGAAAGGACCATCTTGCTGCTGTCTTCTAGTTGTTATCTGTTACTTGTTGGTGTTTCTGCGTCTTTTATAGTTGTGGGCAGCGCTCTTGACAAAGCAACAACAATAGTATCAACAGCGGTAAGGAAGAACATTAACCAAAAATCGGCCACAATTGAATCTCTTGTTTACCGAACCAATGACAAAAGATATCGCAGCTGTTTATACCAGATACTCTTTAAGTATAAACCTTCATATGCTCATTCGTTATTTATGAATATCAATATATTTTAAAATATACTTATGCATTGCATTAAGTTCTGTTTAACTAAAAGTTCTCACTCTTTTAATGTAATTAATGTATTATAAAAGCTCAGTTTTAAAGAACGTTTACCCATGGATTACCCTGCTCAAAATATAAGTAATGTAACCGTGATTTGGTTTAGGTACGGCACGTACTTATCGGAACTCACCAGATAATTATTATGATAGTAATGTAATAACTACTTAAAATGCCTTGTATCCTGTTGTTTTCAAGAGGGATGCCATTAATTAAGACAATTTTTACTACTTTGTGCAAGTAACACATACGTACATACATACATACATACATACATACATACATACATACACACATACATACACACATACATACATACATACATACATACATACATACATACATACATACATACGCACGTACATACATACATACATACATACGTACATACATACATACATACATACATACATACATACATACATACATACATACATACATACATACATACATACATACATACATACATACATATGTACATACATGCATACATATGTACATACATACATACATACATACACCGGTACATACACTACACATACACTACACTCACTGCTCGACCGGTAAGAGAGGTTACTTGAAATATTTTGACTCTAAATTTGAAGACATGCCTTACAGTCCTCGCTAGAACTAGTTGGGAATTATAGGGCTACAAGAAAATATTTTTCCTCAGCAAATATTAAAAGTGGCAATAACTATGTGTTCCGACAGTAAGTTAAACATTCTTCAGGCTTTAATTAAGACAATTTTTACTACTTTGTGCAAGTAACACATACACTAAATACATACATACATACATACATACATACATACATACATACATACATACATGCATACATACATACATACCTATATACATAAACATCTTATCTTATTATTCTAGTGTCTTTGGTAATACTCAGGCATAATTAATTTTATACAGGCTTACCGCGTTGACGTCTTGTGGAGGGAGTAAACTGCTCTGTTGGCCAATCGTAGAGCCACCTCCAGAAACCGCATGTCCATGCCAGCATTGTGCTTTGTGCCGAATGGAGGGTTCATCAGCACCGTGTCAAAGGACTTCTCCCACTTGCTGCCGATCAGCTGCAGCACATCCGCCCGCACGCAATCCACATTGGGAAGCTCCATCTCCACTACATTGCCCCTAAAGGTGTCCACAGCATCGCCGTCTAGTTCGAAGCCCACGGTGAGCTGGGCGCCCAGAAGAGTGGATGCAATGCTGAGCATTCCGCAGCCGCAGCCCAGATCTCCCACCAGCTTTCCCTCGATATCCTCGTGCTGCGACTGCATGTGGTGGGCCATACAGGCGGCTATGTGCGGTGGAGTGGGGTACTGTTCCAACAGGATCTTGGGCTGCTCGAAGCCATCAACGCCCTGCAGATACTCCTCCAGTTTCCTCAGCTTCATCCGGGCCATTGCGGATCCGGCTATTTACTGATATTGTGGCTGGGCGGGGCGTTCGGAGTGGTGGGCGTGGTCGCGGGCGACGGCAGCGGCTCCAAACGAGGCAGCACGGGTATAAAGCTGTTTCCAAAATACGAATCCTGAGGTATAAAGAAGCCCAGAGTCGTAGAGCTCGTTGGATTAAATGCAGAGCGGGCGGTGGATGTGGCATTGGTGGCAATGCCCACGCCCGCCTGGAAGTCGGGATTTACTGTTGTCGGCTGTCCCAGCAACTGGGGAGCGGGCATCTGCGGGAGAAGACCAGGTAAACACATTTTGCAATCGCCATGTTCCCTACGAACTCACCTGATTCGCCGGGCTCAGACCCAGGTTTATGATCCCTCCCGCGAGAAGCTGCTTCTTCGTCTGGATCTCCTCGAGTATCTTGCGGTTCGTCTCTGCTTGCTGGGCACTTGTGGTGGGAAAAGCCATCAAATAATCTAGGTATGGATGGGAAAAGGTCGGAACTATATCGAAAACTTCTTGGCCAGTGGTGCTTCTGCCGCTGCCTTTGGCATTTTACGTGCAGTGTGGTCACACTGGCGACTACTTCAGTGTGACACAAACAGTAGCGGTATTCTGCTTGATCCAAATTGATTTACGACAAACACATTAACATTCATCGAAATAAATTCACATCAAACATACATACACACAGCAATAATTAATGAATACCAATTTCAAATTAATGAAATTTCATATAATCTAACTCACATACACATATCGATAACACCGCAACGGAATTCACCGATCATCATCATCACGAAAATTCCCAATTGCTACTTAAGTTCAACATTTGCTTATAAGTGTCTTGAAATTTCATCTCCCCTTCTAGTAAGTCCCCTAAAAACAATACAACAAAATGGGTGGACTTGGTTGTATTATTGTAATACCTTGTTTTGGTCACTCTGCAAGTCTTACAACGTGAGCAGACAACAACAAAATTACATTTTATTTACAAGAATCAGAAACAAAATCACCAGTTTAGAGCTATAATCTTCGGAAATATTTATTTATTTGCGTATATATACTGAAAACAAGTGAAGCACCATGAGTATGAGCGACGACGACCGCGACATAGACATCGAAAGTGACGTAAGCAAGTCGCAGAAGAAAATACTTATACGTGTGTGTAATATCGATTATAATGATAAATTACCAACTTTTTAGGACGATGGGGATTCGGACACTGGTTTGGGATCCTCGCGACACACGAGCACCGCCAATTTCACCCAGGTGACTATCCATTCTGCATAATTCTGAAAAGAAGAAGCGACTGCGCACATTGGCTTTTGTTGATAAACAGAACGCACACGTGTTGTTGTTGTTACGGTATCGTGATTGCGTTACAGCAGAGTTCACTGCAATAGGATTCCTATTTAAATTATCGGGGAGGGACTGGCAAAACCTTTTTTTTTTATTAATTTGATGATCGAAATTATAGAATTATGCAATCATATTCAAGACCAAAATGATTAATTTAGCATTTTCGTTATATCTATGCTTAATTGATGGGACATCCTACATGTACATACATATGTGTTTACTAATTTGTTATGTTTGTTTCAAGGCCGAAAAGCGGGCGCACCACAACGCCTTGGAGCGTAGGCGGCGAGATCACATCAAGGAGAGCTTCACTAACCTGCGAGAGGCGGTGCCCACACTAAAGGGCGAGAAGGTAATCCAGAGGAGCAACAGGTGATCCTGTTTATCACCAGTATCTTTTGTTACAGGCTAGTCGAGCTCAAATTCTGAAAAAGACCACCGAATGCATACAGACGATGAGGCGGAAAATCAGTGAAAACCAAAAGGACATTGAAGAGATCAGGAAGCAAAACAACATACTAGCCAAGCAGAGTAGGCAAATACCGCTATTTATCATCAAACCTCCTTCTTAGATCCTTTATATATTTTCCAGTACGAGCGCTTGAGAGTCAAAATGGGGATCAGTTCAGTGAATTTCTCAGCGAGGAGGAAGTGGGCAGCGAGGAGGCCGAAGACGATGACCTCGACCAGGACTTCAGTAGACGCAACAAAAAGATGAAGACCTTCCACGCATAGCTGTTGGTCCAGACCAAAGTGCTGCTTACTGGTTCCGGTTTTCGTTTTACTGACATTCTGAATTCTTCCGTGGAATAAGTTGAACTTTGAGTTGTGTTTCACAAAAGCAATAGCCCTCAAAAAGTTGTGAAGGAAACGATTCCAAATTCGAGTTAATACAACTTCAATCATACTATGTGGAGATGAAAACAGTAACAAGTCCGATAATCATAATCATCATTAGCTGTAAGCCCATAATGTAACCCACCCAATCGACCTAAATTTGTATGCGTGTGTCTTTTGTACTGTCAACAAATTATCAATCTGCGCAAAAAATAAAGAAGTAAGTTCATATTTTAGAAAAAAATAGGTTTTCAGTGAATCCTACAAAATAAGTTTTCCCTTGAAAACTGTAGTAGAGATTCTTCTGTTTTTACGGACCCGTCTTGATAAGATTGGTTGGGACTTAAAATTTAAATTTAAAAAATATATTTGATTTTTTGACAGGGCCAAAAGAGAACCGCATTCCGAACCAAATACAACTTTGTCTACACTAAACAATACAAATATTTAGGTATATATTTTATAAAATTACCAACAACTACTTGAACTTCAAGGTTATCCAGAGGATGAAGAAAACGACGAGGACGAAGAGAAACATGTAGCACATCTGTCGAGCACCACCGCCCTGTTTGGCCAATCGCACCACCCGCGTCATCGTGTTGCCCAAAAATCCACTCGTCCGGTCCATGTCGTCGTCGATTCCGCGCAGCAGTTTGTCCTGGTAGCGCACCTCGTTGCCTATATCTATGGTGAGGGACTTCAGGGCCCCGATCTTCTGCTTCAGCTCCTCCGCTGCCTGCTCGTTTTCCGCCTCCAAGGCGTCATGGCTTGCGGGATGGGGTCCTGATGGCTGCTGGTTCAGGGGCTGGTAGGGGTAGTTGTTGCGGCGCATACTGCTCCCCGAGTGTGCCAGTTTGGCATCCGAATTGCTGCGGATCGGGTGAATAAAGGGAAATAAGTTCAACGTTCACAAATCTCAGTTTTGATCAAGTGACACGTAAACGTAAACATGTAAGCTCACCCAGCGGCAGAACAGCTGTTGGGTTATTTGCTTCTTGTGGCAACCTGTGTGGCTGACTGCGCATTGACCCTTGACCCCGTGTCGTAATTTCCAGAGTCGGTTGACTAATGCTTCCACTTAATAAACGAAACTTTTTAAATTCTCATGCAATTGAATTCCTGGTCGCCGAGCAGTGTGACCAGAGCAAGCAGCAAAAAATTCCGCAATGCGTGCAGCGACATTACGATATTAATTTAACCCTTAGCTTCCCAATACGATTGAACATCGTAAGTGGATTTTATAATAACAAGTTTTTGAAGTTCACTTGCTTAAAATTAAAAGGTGCTCAATACACTCAGCTACTAACATTTATCTACACTGTCTTGTCGCTTTATACTTTGATTTATTTTATAAATTCATTAATATACGAAAAAAAAAAAAAAAATAATGTGAGATATGTTAGCTCTAACATGCAAACACAATTTTAAATAAATATTACTACTACATGTTTTTAGTAAGATGGGTAGTCGAATGTTAAGAACAGTGGGTTAATCCGCGTGTCTGTTACTTTTAGAGTCGGGTAATTTCTAAAATCCCGCCTACGGGCACACTGCTCCAGTGTTTAGTAACTTAACTTTAGGTAATTTTGGCCACAATTTGGCATGCCGCTCTCGATTTTGTTGCTCCCATTCGCTTTCATCAGCTGGCCGTGAAATCAATAAGCATAAAATATTCAAGTCCGTGCGGTGGCAAGTGCGTCATCATCAAATTCAGTGGTTCGCCGAGATTATGCGACCTTTGCATTTGAATTTTCATTGACCCTGACCAAGTGCACTAGTTTGTTGTTGTTGTTATTGTTGTTGCTCTTTTGGCTGCTCTTCCTCTTTTTCTTAATCAGCCTCCCCCTGCCCCGCAACCTAATGATGATCGACAAACATTAAGTTTGCGTAATATGCGAGAATAACAACAGCAACAATTGTGGCCTGATAAGGACTGGAGCCCAATAACCCAGCGGATCGAATCACGCGAGTAGAGATACTGATAGCACTGCAACTCTTTTCCGTTCCAGATTTAGCATGGCGGAGTTCGCGGAGGTCTTGCCCCACAGTGGTCTGATGGACGGGATCGCCTCGGGAGTGGGGGTGCCCGTGGAGGCCCTCCGGTTGCTCCTCACCATTTTGGCCGGTAAGCTGCCGAGCACCTGTGCTATTCAGTAAGACACTGGATAGTCAGGCACAAAGCAAAGCGTTTAGACTGATATAATTTCCTAAGATATTTATGGATATATGTATGTACATGTGATCATATAACGCGAAGTACTGCACAAAGGTTATATGTATGCACAGGTGTTTATTAATGATGTATCTATCAGTTAGGAGGTTGTTTTTTTGTTTCTTCCCATTTTTTGTGAATGTAAATGTGTAATTTAAAAATTGATCCCAAAATTACATTTTTCGAATACGGCAAAAATAGTAACAATAAGATTGTTACATTTTCCAATCCTACATCGACAACTTATGATTAATAGTCTTGAATTGTAACCAGACTCCTTAAATTTCGTAGTAATGTGGCTCATTCCTAATGATAACAGTCAGGCTATGCAAAAACTTCATCAACCTGCAACTCAAAGAAACGCCGGACTTTACAAATGTTTAGTTCAAATGTATGGACTAAACTTTTTTATTGTAGTAATAATGGAACTAACCAATGTGCATCCCTTCTTTCAGGTTATCCGGTTGCAGCATTTTATCAAAAGCTTATTGCCGTAATTGCCGATAAAACAGTGCATCACATGTTCTTCGCTGGATGCGGCGCTGGATTATGTTACTTCAACTATGGTCGCGACACATATCACTCACTCATAGCCATCGTGACCACCTATTTCCTGGTACTCCTCGTACGAAAGAAAACGAAAATATTTCTGGCCATTAACTTCGTATTCCATATGAGCTACCTGCTGCTGGGATATTTCTACACCTCCAGCAATGATTACGATATTCTGTGGACGATGCCTCACTGCATTTTGGTTCTTCGCATGATAGGCTATGGTTTTGACATCACCGACGGACTGAAAGAGGAGTCGGAATTGTCTAAGGACCAAAAGGAGACTGCGCTGAAGGAACCGCCTTCTTTGCTGGAGCTCCTGGCCTTCTCCTATTTCCCCAGTGGATTTCTGGTTGGACCGCAGTTCCCATTCCGCCGGTATAAAGCCTTTGTCGATGGCGAATTCCGTCAGCACGGAGGAAACGTGGAGGCTGGCATTCGTCGATTCGGGGCTGGTGCATTCTATCTGATTGTGTGTCAGGTTGGATTAAGATATCTTCCTGATTCATACTTCCTCACCCCGGAGTTTGCACAAGTTTCGTTCATCAAGAGAATTTATTTCCTCGGCTTCTGGGCAAAATTCAGTCTGTACAAGTACATATCATGCTG